AGGTGTTGCCTTCAGCAATATAGCCTTGCTGTAAGTTTGTAGAGAGAGAGCTAAGTCTTGGTATCACTCTAGGGTTTTTGGGAATTCCCTTGAGTTCCTTTTTTCCTACATCTCAACTAGATGTAACACTTTCCTGGTACTGGAAACTAATTTTGTTGTTAAGAGATAGTCTGTTTGGACTCTGTTTTGTCACTATGTGACAATTTTATCTAGATCACTTTCATATATGAACATATTTTAGGAAGATTCTACTGTATTAGTTTTCCTTACTATCCCTCAATTGGTCTTTAATTTTAGCTATCTTTTCACTATTCCTTCCTTTGTTGTTCCTTCCAAATTCCTCTCCACTTTATTCTCCTGTTTCAGCCCTTCTCTGTATTCTATATCCATGTTTAAATGAGATATATCTCTACTCCCTAGTCCCTTAGTTGTAGCAGCATTTCAATTGTATCGTAATAAATAAAGACTACCTGAAAACCTAAGAATAATAAAGTCCCACTAATCAGCCTTACAGACAAGGTTATGGTACCACACACCTCTAATCCCAGTAGCCATAATGATACACACCTTTAATCCTGGTAGCCACAATGGCATGCACCTTTAATCTCAGTAGCCACACTAGTTGCCATAGAAACTGGTGGTACTTGCCTTTAATCCCAGTGGTGCATGTCTTTAAACCCAGCCTCAAAGAGGAATATAGGATGGGGGAAGACAGTTCTCAGACACAGTCTCATTCTGAGCTTTCTGAAGGCAGGGTTCCTATTTCAGACTGAGGTAGAGGTAAGAGCCAGTGGCTGGCTGTTTTGCTTTTCAGATCTTCAGGTTGAACCCCAGTTTCTGACCTTGAGTTTATATTAATTGTGCTTCACTTAGTTTATACCTAACCTATGTTGTTCTATGGATTATAGTTTGGTTGTCATTGATTTACCAGCTAATATCCACATATAAATGAATAAATACTGTATTTGTGTTTCTGAGTCTGGATTACTTCATTCAGGATAATTTTTCTAGTTTCTTCCATTTGCCTGCAAATTTCATTGTTACTTCTTTATTTAGTATCTAAGCAATAATCCATTGTGTAACTATACCACATTTTCTTTATAAATCCTTTTTTTGAAGGACATCAGGTTCTTTTCAATTCCTATAATATAGTTGATCATGTGTCTTCATGTAGGATTGATCTTCTTTTGATTATATACTCAAGAGTGCTATGAGTGGGTGTTGAGGTCAATCAATTCTCAGTTTTCTGAGGAACTGCCATATTGATTTAGAAGTGGCTGTATGATTTGCATGCCTACAAGCAATGAAATGTTACCCTTGTTCCATATTGTCAGCATGAGCTGGCACTTGTGTTATTTATCTTAGCCATTTTGACAGGTGTGAGATGTAATCTCAAAGTAGTTCTGATTTGTATTTCCATGATGGCCTAGGATATTACTATTTCTTTAAGTGTTTCTCAGTCATTTGAGATTCCTGTATTGAGAATTCTGTTTAGATATGTGCTCCATTTTTAAATTGCATTATTTGATTTGTTGATTTCTAGTTTATTGGGCTCTTTATATATTTTGGTTATATATTTCTTTTAGAATTTCTAATTTGATGGAGTACTGGATTTCAAAATATGTTCTTTTGATTTTATGTGTTTCCTTGTTGTCTGTTGTCATGTCCATGTGTTTACTCCAATTTTTAAATTTGGATATTGTCTCCCTACCTTTTAGCTAACGTGGATAAGTTTTTGTCAGTCTTACTGATTTTCTCAACATACCCAACTTTGTTTCATTGATTTTTTTATATTTATTTATTTTTCTATTGTATTAATTTCAGCCCTGAGTTTGATTATTTTTTTCCATCTAATCTTATTTGTGTGTTTTTTCTTTTTGTTCTCAATCTTTCAGGTGTGCTATCAAATTCCTTGTATATTATCCACAAAGTATTTTATTTATGTACTTAGTACCTTGACCTTATCTCTTTGAACTGCTGTCATCGATAAGTTTGGGTTTTCTATTATGTATATCACTGCCATCTATAAGCATGTTGTATTTATCTCTTTATCATCTGTTACCTGTCTGTCTATACATAGGTAAACAAAATAAATTAACTCACATAAATCTTTTCATCATGACTTGTTTATTCTTTTTATGCTCTCTCTAATGCCCACGATGTTCCTCGTTCTTTTCTGCTCCTGATGTTCTTGCTCTGCTTGCTGCCCATCTCCTATCAGGTTTCCAGTCTTTATAGCCCACACAGATATCAACATGCATTGCAGAATCGTAAAAAATAGGTAGATCACAAGAAAGCAGTGCTCCAGGTAAAGGTGACACCACCCAGGAATAACCAGTACCCAAGGGGAATATCTGACCTTCCAAATCATTAGATACGATTGACATTATGTAGATTTGACATAGAACAAAGAGTGAATGTTATCATGCTAAGGCCTCATGGAAGGTCACTCCATTGCCCATACAGGAGAAAGTTACACTGCTGAAGTATTTGGGGAATAAATTCCATTTTGAAGGGGAGAAAAGTCGTGGCTTCACAACGTTTCTTCATAATTGACAGTGACTATCCAAAAGACAGGTGTTCACCAAGCTCTGTAAGTTGGCCCCCCCCACAAGTTATACACTTGTGGGTCTAAGAATTTGTCAGTTGTACATTTACTATATAATGCTTGTGGCTCCAACAATATAACTATTATTTATTAATCGATCATCATTTTTCTATAATCTTAATTTTATTGATCAATCTGTCAATCAATCATGTATGTATTTATCTTTTACTATTTTAATTATCTATTTGTTGACATTCTCACATACCTTTCTTATATCTATTTTCTATTTTTATCTCTTTGTTTATCTATCATTTCTTTTATTATAATGAAGTTGATAGATAACAGAATATTCACAATGTAATTTTCATCCATGTATTTTTAGATTTCTAGAGTTTGTGAGTGTTAGTCGAGTATTACTTTTTTACTTTCTTGGTAGCACCAAATCCCATCTATCATTTCATTCACATAAATATTATCTTAAACTCATCTGATATAATTTCTTTTCAGATTGCAATTTTAATGATCAAATCATATTCATTATTTCCCCTAACTTATCTTAGCATATCATAAAAGCAGAAATCCTAGAGCTCTCTGAACAATTTTCAGGCAGTTCAACATGTCTGAGAAATCTCCCCTTAGAATTTAGTAGACCCAGTTCCTTAATTTTCCTACAGAGTTGGGAAGAGGTGATAGTAAATCTTACAGATTTCATCTTCCTAGATCATGGGAAGTTTTTTTTTTCCCTTGAGTCTCTTGAACCTCTCTACCACCCACTTTGGGCCAAGCATGTTTCAATTAAAAGAAACTGTTATAAAAAAAAAGAGCCAGAAAAAGTGAAAAGGGGAGGATCAGTTAACAGGGATGAAGGAGAATCATTAGAGTTTTTACTCTGTTTCTCTTTCTTCAAAACATTAGAGCCAGCCTTCACTCTCTGCCTGGCCAAGAGATTAGACTACCCTTGGCTGCCACTAAAATCACCTAGTCTTCATGTTAAGAGCAGGTTTAGTTTTGTGGGAGCCTTGTCTATCTTGCTAACTCACTTTCATTCCGGGACTCACTAAGACACAGAAAGGCGGTATCCTGTGTGGCCACATGCTGTTGTAGCTTCAGCCCAGTTGGCTTCTTGGCCATGTCCTTTCTCAACAACAGATACTTGTAAGAGACTAACACCCACAGGGTGTGTGAGGTATGAGTTCCTGACCACAAGATTTCTTCATTTGTTACTACTTAAGAAAAAGGAACAGTTTCTTGTTGAAGTACTTAGTTTTTAGTTGCTCTTGGGAAGAGTTTTAGAAAATACCAAGAATTCATCTGTTTCTATTTCAGATGAGAAAGCAGGCTTTTTCACAAACCAATGTCTAGCAGTTCTCAAATCTCAGTATCCTTTATTTTTATCTTAAATTTCCTTTTTTCCTTTAAGGGTTTGTTTTGCAGTCCAGTTAGTCTGAAACCCCTTTATGAAGCACAATCTGGCCTCAAACTTGAGTTCCTCCTCCTTCATCTGCCTGCCAAATGATGAGAATATAGGTGTACATTACCACACTTGTCTTTAGCCATTTTTTATTTTTATTGTTTAATGGAGGAAAGGTTTACTTGACTCACAGTTCCACCATTGTGAGTGAGTCACTCAAGACAGAAAATTGGTCACATTGCATCCATACTTGGAAAGCAGAAATCAAGGATGGATCCCTATGCTCATCTTGCTTTATTCACTTCTTTTTAAAAATATTATTACCTTATAAATAGTAGGAATCAAAATTTCCACCTCCTCCGCTCCTCCCACTTCCCTCCCACTCCCCAATCACCCTCCCCTCTCCCCCAGTCCTAAGAGAGGACAGCAAGGACCCTGCCCTGTGGGAAGTTCAAGGCCCTTTCCCCTCCATCCAGGCTTAAGAAGGTATGCATCCAAATAGACAGTCAGCATTTCAGCATGGAGGGTAGAAGGGCCTCATGGGCCCCCACTCTTAGATGTGTGAGGAGTTAGGGAGAGGAGTAAGCTTTGAATATGGTAAAAGTACTGTGTATGAATATACAAAGTTGCCCTTAAATTAAAAAACAAATATAAAAATCCCTTCTATATTTTCATGACCTTTTTATTTATTTTATTTTATTTATTTATTTTTAATTATTGAAAAAATTTCTGCCTCCTCCCCCTTCCATTTTTCTCCCCCTCCCCCACTCCTCCCCCCTCCAGTCCAAAGAGTCAGGGTTCCCTGCCCTGTGGGAAGTCCAAGGTCCTCCCCTCTCCATCCAGGTATAGGAAGGTGAGCATCCAAACAGGCTAGCATCCCACAAAGCCAGTTCATGCAGTAGGATCAAAACCCAGTGCCATTGTCCTTGGCTTATCATCTGCCCTCATTGTCCGCCATGTTCAGAGGGTCTGGTTTTATCCCACGCTTTTTCAGTCCCAGTCCAGCTGGCCTTGGTGAGCTCCCAATAGATCAGCCTTACTGTCTCAGTGGGTGGGTGCACCCCTCGCGGTCCTGACTTCCTTGCTCATGTTCTCCCACCTTCTGCTCATCATTTGGACCTTGGGAGCTCAGTCTGGTGCCACAATGTGGGTCTCTGTCTCTATCTCCATCCATCGCCAGATGAAGGTTCTATGGTGATATGCAAGATATTCATCAGTATGGCTATAGGATAGGGCCATTTCAGGTTCCCTATCCTCAGCTGCCCAAGGAACTAACTGGGGACATCGCCCTGGACAGCTGGGAGCCCCTCTAGGTTCAAATCTCTTGCCAACCCTAAGATGGCTCACTTAATTAGGATATATACTTTCCTGCTCCCATATCCACCCTTCCTTTATCCCAACCACCCCATTCCCCCAAGTTCCCCACATCCTCCCCTTCTCACTTTTCTCTCCCCATTTCCCCTTACCCCCATCCCACTCCACCCCCAAGTTCCCAATTTTTGCCTGGCAATCTTGTCTACTTCCAATATCCAGGAAGATAACTATGTTTTTCTTTGGGTTCCCCTTCTTATTTAGCTTCTCTAGGATCACAAATTATAGGCTCAATGTACTTTATTTATGGCTAGAAACCAATTATGAGTGAGTACATCCCATGTTCATCTTTTTGGGTCTGGGATACCTCACTCAGGATAGTGTTTTCTATTTCTATCCATTTTCATGCAAAATTCAAGATGTCATTGTTTTTTTTTAACCACTGAGTAGTACTCTAATATGTATATATTCCACACTTTCTTCATCCATTCTTCTATTGAATGCATCTAGGTTGTTTCCAGGTTCTGGCTGTTTCAAATAATGCTGCTGTGAACATATTTGAACAAATGTTTTTGTCATATAGGGCATCTCTTGGGTATATTCACAAGAGTGGTATTGCTGGGTCCTGGGGTAGGTTGATCCTAAATTTCCTGAGAAACTGCCACACTGCTTTCCAAAGTGGTTGCACAAGTTTACATTCCCACCAGCAATGGATGAGTGTACCCCTTACTCCACATCCTCTCCAACAAAGGCTATCATTGGTGTTTTTGATTTTAGTCATTCTGACAGGTGTAAGATGGTATCTCAAAGTTGTTTTGATTTGCATTTCCCTGATCACTAAGGAGGTTGAGCATGACCTTTTATGTAATCTCTCTCTCTCTCTCTCTCTCTCTCTCTCTCTCTCTCTCTCTCTCTCTCTCTCACACACACACACAC